TCAGCATGGGGGTGAGTAGAAAATGAAGGCTAATCATGTTTTGGGTGTACTATTCCTTTAATTTGAACGCTCTGTAACATGAGGGACATCTCTGACTTCAGAAACTTGTTTTCCCTCAGAGGTGAGCTCAAAGTGACTGTTGTGTTTGTATCTCACACTGATCTCTGCCTTTAATAGTGATTTGTTACTGTGAGCGTCTCTTTGCTATAAACTTAATATAACCTAAATGCATCTACATAAAAGCTCACCTCACAGTCATGACTGTGAAGAAGTCTTTGACCTGGAATGTGTTGTTTTCTCTTATAGGATAAAAGTCTTCTAAGGATAAGCAGGGCAGTTTGATTCAATCCAGCGAATCAGAGCAGCCCTAATTAAAAATCGAAATAAAATGATCCTGAATGCCACAACCTTTGTGGGAGAACTTAAAAAACTTTTTTTTACCGACAACAAAGTGAAGAGAGGAGGGACATTCCAGCGCCTTGTGGAGCTACGCAGCCGAGCCAACCTTTGAAGCTCACCAAGGTTGGACATTAGCCGAGGATTATGAAATTATTTACAGATTTGATTCAATCTCAGTGTAAGTTTAATGACTGATGATTTTCCTAAAGCTGGTGAGTCATAACATCACACTCTGGATTGGAGCTTTTTTTTTAGAAACTTGATGGTTTGAAGGTTTGTGGTTAATAATTCAAAATCAATCTTGGTAGTGTCTACATGTGCCTCCTGTTAAAAAGGACTCATGATCCTCTGTCCACAGACTCAGCTCTGAATGTTTCTCTCTAAACTGGAATTGAACTTTTTTTCCTTCATCTCCTTAACGTCTAAAATAATAATGTTTATGTTTTTAAAGATTCTTCTTGGATTAACAGAGCGATCCTGTGAGCTCCCTCTCTTCCCCGTTAGTCTGAAAGGGAGAGGATCTCCATAGCAACCACTGACTCAGCAGTTTTCACTTAGCTGCTTCTTCTTTCTACGTAAACATAGATCATCGTTATATGAAGAACCATTCAATCCGTCCATCAGTTTTCTACTCTTGCTCATGAGCTTTGGGTTCTCTGGGATTGTTTGATTCGTCTGAGGAACGCCATGAGGCTGCATGGACCTCATTCCCTCCTAACTACGACCTGGCGGCAGCGTGAACCTGGCAGCCGCTCTAACAATGGCTCAATTGAGCCGTGATCCCCACGCAGGCTCAATTTGCACCCCGCTCCAGATCTCGTTTTGGGTTTTGTTCTCCTTTAAAGAATGCTATATGGCCTGTTTGCAGCACATGTTTGGCATTTACAAGATGTTACAAGGCTTGAAATTGTGGTCAGAGAGGATTTCTTTATGAAACTTCCTGCGAATGTTCTTCTTGGCAGGGAAGGTGTTTCTAACAGCCAGGGATCAAAGAATGCAAACAGGGACGGAACCGCAGGGCAGCTGAAGCCCACTCTGTGGTCAGCAACGTTTCATTGTCTAATTGTCTGTGGCATTTAAGGACCCGCTTTCTGCTTACAGCTTTGATTAAGCAATAAAGCTGTGGCCTATCATCAGCTCTGGGTCTAATTTGAGAGGAAGCAGTTCTCCTTATTTTGAGCAGAACAGTTTTAGCTACGTTTCATTTAAAGCTGCAGACAGAAGCTCAGACATCCTGGAGAAATTGCTTTGCTCTGCAGGTCCTGGATGCTGCTCTGATTTCAGTGGGTTGCTGATTAACAGCCTTCAGCTGAACTGCAATCACCTGACTCCAGTTTGTTAACATAAAAAAGTACATTTTTATTGAAATTAAAAAGGTAAGATAAATTACATGCAGAATAAGGTCATTAACGGCTCCATTATCTCACTTCAAAAGCTAATATCCAGTGATGTTATTCCAAGGGCAGAAATCCTCCTGAAGGCAGATGATTTACATTCTCTAATAAAGGCTAATTTTACTGATTTTAGGAAATGTTTATATTTTGATCAGTTTTTGGAGAGCAGAGCAAACATTACAGCCTGTGAC